ACCCCACCACCCACCACCTACCCCTTTCACTGTTCTCAGTTTCTCTATCTATCTTTGTCTTTCTCTATCGAGCTGTCTCTCGGAACCAGTTCATCATTCCAAGGCAAATACAATTTCAGACAAGATCCAACGGCATAGAATTACTTTGACAAGATGTCTTTGTTATTTGAATTGTCGAACATGGTATTAGAGAATTAGAGTAGATTCTTACATGTGAATGCTTCCGCTTTGATGTAAAGTATTCTAAAACGTTCTTTGAATATTGATAAAATTGTTGTTTTTTTTTATTATACTCATTATAATTTTAATTGATTAATCTCTTGTTTCTATATAGTTATTAAATTTAACGTTTAGTTTAATTATTAGTTAATGACAAATGTACCACGTTTTCTGTCAAGTTGCATTTGATTAAGTGTTATTATTACACCGTGTATATTGCTTTTGGTGTACATGTACGGGAAATGATATTTTTTTAAATTAAAAAAGAAACGATAGGAGATATTGTGTTGTTAAAATTAGGAAAATATATTTGAAATTTTATTAAAAAATCGTTCTATAATAATATTAATAATAATAATAATAATCATCATCATAATCATCATATTGCGATCGTTTCAGATAATTTAAATTAATATTATTCTGTTTGAAATTAATTAAACGAAATAATTTAATATAAATAAATATTAAAACGCGTGTGTTTGTGTGTGATGTTCAAAGAGTATAAGAATTAATTTGACGCAATGTTTGTTTTCGATAATGAAATATTTACGATGATTATTAAAACATTTTCGTATTACAAATATTTGTAATTACAATGATTTTTCCTTACAAATAAAAATAATAAATTTGATCGGTGAGATGGGAAAATGAGTTTTGTTTTTTCGAGAAAAGCAATTAAAAAGAAACAAAAATTAAAAATACAAGAAACGGTTTTCCTTAAGTTCGATTTCTCGAGTAAACAAAAAGTGTTGGAGTAAACCTAGACAAGAGTTTTCTTTGCTTAGTTTAACCATCGTTACTCGCGCTTTCCTTCTTTTTCATCTTCGTAAAGCAACTCCCAACAATTCTCTCTCTCTCTCTCTCTCTCTCTCTCTCTCTCTCTGTTTCTTTTCTTTAAGAATTTTTACTTCAAGATCGTTGCGCTTGTTTTATTCGGATCAAACTCTGACTAAAAAAGTACGACGCTTCTCTTCTACCAAAGGCTACGGATCGTTTCGTTCGAGAAAAGGAAAAAAAGAAAAAGTAAAGAAAAGGAACCAAGTGAGTAGCGAGTAAAGAAAAAAATCTTTAGAAAATAAAAAGAGGAAACTTGATAAAACGTTTCTCTTACCGATTTTTCACCCCTTTCTAATCCATCTTCTTCTTCGAGTTTTTTTTTTTTTTTTAACGAAATATCTTTTTCTTATATATAATAGAAAACAATTCATATATTTTTTTCATCGATAATTTATAAGAACCATAATACAATACTTAAAGTATCTTATAGTAAATTTTTAATAACACAAATATGGATGAATATAAATAAAATCTTGAAGTAATTTATCAAATTAATTTATAAAAATAATACATATCTTCAATCCTAGAAATTAGTTTTTTTGTTTTTTTTTTTTTTCTTTATAAACTAACGAAGAATAATTTTAAAAGAATAATAATTAATTTTAGAAAAACAAAGAAGGAAAAAATAAAAGAGTACGCAAAGGTATGCTAACGTTTGTCGAGTTAAAAAGAAAAAGCAATTAACACTTAAAGAATAGGTTAAAATAAAAACTAGTTAGTGAAATGTTCTGTTACAGATGACCTTGTTCAATCTTCTTTAAACCAAGAACGAAAGCTTTGTGGCATAATTTCTTAAATTACTATGAAAACTTTAAAGTCCTTATAAGCAAGCAAGCAAACCTACGTACCTTTTTCCATTTTCTCTTTCCTTGTTTCCTTCCCAACATTTTCTCTGTTTTCACGAGCTTCTTTCAAGAACAACGTCTCTTTTGTTTTCTCTTTCACAAGGAAGGGCTTCAGAAGAGAATGAAAACGTGCAATAGCTTAGCTACGCGGATTATACTTTGCTGTAGAAACTTGATCATCCGTTTAGCAACGAACACGAAATTTTACCATCTCTAAATTATTCGAGGTTTTCTACGACAATGAAGGATGCTATCGTCTTAACTCATTATCATTTATTCTAGAACGATAAAACATTATGTTTTAATCATATTACATTAATTTTGTTATTACTATTATCGTTTTAACTTATATTTTATATTGTTTTTCTAAGTAAAATAGGTTATGTTACCACAAAAAGTTTCTTTTAATTTTTTTGCAATTTAGGTTATGTTCGTTTATTGTATGCTGTATACGATTGAGAGAAAATTAAAACAGCAGAACTTAGGGTGATAATATTTAAGAATAATTATTCGTTTAAACAAAATATTTGGGATAGAAACCAAAATTTTATGTGCAGAGATTGATGATTTAATTATTATAAAATAAAAAATATATAGTTGTTGATAATATTTTATCATTAATTTTGATGTAATCAAACGATCGAATATTTATTATTGTAAATTGTATAAATGAGTATTAGATAAATCATTAAATCGAATAATTAATTACCAATCTAACTTATATATCGATTGAAAAATAATTTATAATGGTGAACAATTCTAAAAATAATTACCATCGGTGTTTTCATAAATCGAATAAATTTGGAAGCTTTGTTTTTTTTAAAGAGATATACCACATAATACCTATTAATCCGAAAAAAAAACTTGAAAATATCGTTTTATAATATTATCTTTTATTCGTATTGAAAAAGGTGATGAAAAAATTCATTAATTAAATTGGAAACGAATCTATCGTTTATCAATAATCGACTAATTATTTTGAAATAAATTGTTGCAAATGAAAACAGAAATAAAACCACTTGAAGGAAACAACAATTAATATCTACGATACTTCTCCGATTAAATTTAATTAATGTTATTTCTATTTCATTATAAATATAAACTCTTAATAAAAATAAAATATAATATTTCCTTCGTTAGATATTAATTTTAGAAAATGATGAAAAATTTATCATAATACTTACATTAACAATATAAATGACCAATCATCGATCGTATAAAAATGAAGAAACAAATATTATGAAAAATCATTATCACATACGTCTATGTTTGTCTGATATAAGAAAAACTTAAGGAAAAATATGAAGTAGAGTGAGAAGATAGAAAAGTATCTTGACCTTTTGCACTCTTACTTACTTCCGACGATTCATCTGCTTATTCTCGATAAAAATACAATGTCTGTCTGAGGAACGTGGAGGAACGGGAGGTTAGAAATAGTTTCTCCATAAAGTGCTGGACCGTGGAACGAGTTACAAAAATAGTGATGTAGGCTAAGGGGTTGAAAAAGAGGGAACGAGGGTAGAGGAGTTAAGAGGAGAAGATGGTGGGAGGGGGAATGGAGTGGGATGTGATGGGGTGAGAGAAAAGAGAAACAATCGTAGTTCGTCGAAACTTTTTCGAATCAACTCGAGTGAAACGTACTCTCGATATCTTGTTGCTTTAGTTGGATAGTTCAAAAGATAGATTTTTTCGTACATTAAGAAGATGAAACATTGATTATCTCGAATATGTTCTCTTCCCGTTCAAACATATGGATTCCTAAAGGGATATTATATGTTTGTATATTTACATCTGTATTTGTATGGTACCAGATTAATTACAAATTACATTGGATTCCGTTTCTCCAATTTCGAGATCTCATTCCTATGATGTTATCGATATTCCTATTACGCTTGTTGTAATCTAGGAATTGGGGATGCTTTTCAATATAATTTCACATTAAACCGAATACCTTAAAAGGCTTTCACGATATTAACCATTATTATTAGTATTACTAATTGTTTTTAAGTTAAAAATTATATTAAATGTTAGTGTGGTTCTCGGTTAGAAGAAATTATTTAATAGAATATTTGAGATATTATTTATGAAAGATTTTAATTGATACAAGACAATGTTTTATATAGAAAAAAAGTAGAACCTAAATCGATAAGGGCGCCATCTAGATTGAAGTGATACACACGCCATATTGAAAATTTTATATTTTATATTTAATTACAATGTTTTTTATATCTACTATTAATGTTTTATTATTACTATTATTATATTATAATATATATATATAATCATCAATGCAGTAACCGTAAAAAACGTTAAAAAAAAAATACAAAGATTATTAATTGAAATTTTTAAATGATATTTTAATGATAAATTATTGTACGGTGTTAAAGACATATAAATAAAAAATGTAATATTGATTGATTTAAATTGAAAAATAATGGTTTAAATGTATAAAGAAAAATCGTATAAACGTTATAAAAATAGTTCACTCGGAAATATCGTCCTTTTCCATGAGATATAAACCTTTTTACTGGTTTTAACGGCCGGAAGCGATCCTTTAAAAGAAAGCACAGCGTATTGCGTCACGCGATAGATCATGGACGTATCGCCAAATGCTTTTCAATATCGTTCTTTCGTGGTGTAGCCAAGTCCGTAGCTACGTATTTCGAAGATATATTTCCATTATAAACCGACTCGTAACAATAATGAAATTTTATCGTTATATCGTGACCTACATTACATTAATCTAAGAATTTTATTCTTAAATAGGGGGTCTCAGAAAAAATCTTACATTTAAGATTCTAATTTGATTTTTTTTACGCGTAGGATTTAATTATTCTACCAATCAAATTTCGTGACTTCTTTTACATTAATTATTTCTCGTGAAAAAAAAAGATTTTTAGAATGCAATCTAATAATAAATTTCTATACATTATAATTATTTCAATAATACAATGAATTATATTGCACATATTTATCATCATCTCGAAACAATTATTTCCTATTAATTGAACATAAAAATAATATTATATGAATCTAATAATATATTACAATTCTGATATTAATTAATCTAAACAAATTGAAATTATTTTTCTGTTTCAGTCATGGCAGGACCAAAAGAGAACACAAGTTTCACGTATTTGAAAAAAAGTACATTTACGTAACTGCATCTCGTAATATTCCAAAAATATCCTTGAAATCAGGAACAGTGAATCTTCGATAGAAGGAGGATATTTTCTATTAAAAAAAAGAAAAGAACAGAAAATAGTGACAAAAAATAAGAGAAGAAGAAGAAGAAGAAGAACAAAAGGACAGAGATAATATATACAACGCGTGTGTGTATGTGTACGTGTGTGTACGTAATATGTGATAGGAAAAGATGTTGGATAGAAAAAAAATTCAGGCTGACGTGTACAAAGTGATAAAATCAGAAGAAGAGAGGTACCCGCTGCTTCCTGGAATCACCAGGACGATATAGAAGCTTAATGGCGCGATCGGGGTGGTTCACCCTCGACTTTGGAAGGTCGTCACGAAGGAATATCGATCGTAGGATCTCAAACGGACGTGATAAAGAAAAAAAAGAAAAGGAAGAGGACAAGTTAACGTATCTAATGCAACGTTACGAACAACGTTAATTATTTTTCTTTTTTCTACAACCATTTTTTTCGATCTAAAATCCCCCTAACCCTCTTAAATAAATAAAAGACACCACTTTGTATCGAGAAAAACAAGCGAAAGGTTTTTGATTGTTGAAATGATTTTTATTTCAACGAGTAAATAAAGGGGAAGATTATTTTATGAAAATAAATGTTAAACATTGAAAGATCGTTAGATTAGGTTATACGACAAAAACGAAAGAACTGTGATTATTTTTGATTCTCTTTACTGAAGGGAAGGGTTCAATACCAATCAATTTCCCGTCGTGGGAATTTTCATTCGGATTGATCAATCGATTTAGAGAAAATAAAGGAAGAAGAAAATAAACGGAAACAAATTTGTGAAAAGATATCGAGTAAATTTAGATTAGTTGGTTCTTTACAAAGTAATCCAACGTCGAAATAAAATTCTTTTCTTTTCTTTTCTTTGTTTTTTGTTTTTTTTTTTTCAAGATCATTTAACCAACGAAAAATGATTATAATATAATCATCTCACGGTCAAGTTGATAAAAATGAGAATTCATTGGAAATAATTTCATTAATCTCGAAATGAATTGTAAAATTTAAAAAAGAAGAAAATTGTTCAATGGTCGTTTGAAGAAACTTGAAAAAAATACTTGCACATAATCATCGAAAAAAAGAAAACACACACACACACACACAAACCGGAAAGAAGATAGAAATGATTTAAATCAGTCGTCCACTTTTTCGTTGAAAGTGATCAAAGTCTAATACGAAGAAAAAGAAAAACACTCGAAAAAAAAGCAAGAAAAAAAAAGACGTTTTAATAATCATCAAAGTCATCATTTTTCTGTATATTCAAGTCAGTATTTTTGCCAGGATAGAACAGTAACGTATATTTCCAACGAATCTCAATTTCCATTCGCCATTTCGCGTTCTCTCGCGTCCCGTGGTCATAAAAATCTAACGACTTGGTTTGCAGTAACGTAAAGACTGCGTCGACGTTGGCTTATGGTGGTCCCGACCATAGAAAATGGATAGAAAATAAAAAAAAAAAAAAAAAAGAGAAGGGAAGAAAAGAGTAATATAAAATCGTCCTGGAATATAATCTCATAAAATCTTAAATTCATCTCTTTTTCTACTCAATCCACTTGAAACGTTAATACCGTTTGTCCTTAAGGATTCCAAATGCAGAATATCTGATTGAAAAATAGTCGAGTCCGAAGTTTCCTAAGTGAAGAAGAGTGAACGAAAAAAAAAAAAAAAAACAAAGAATAGAAAAGAATATCTTCATTATTGAAATAATCGAATCTTTATCATAGATAAATGATGAGGTGTTTGAAAATTTGATAATTCATCCATTGAACGATAAAACAAAAAGAAGATTTAGGATAATAAATTTAATTATCGGTTTGAAAAAGAGAGAAAATAAATACTCAATGCTTGTGCTTAAACGAATATTAATCCACATATTTTCCTCTCAAGTGATTAAGTGTATTTAAACGCGAGTAAGCATAAATATACACCAACAGGTACGCGTGAAAGAACGTGTTTTAGTTATATAGTGATATAGTGATTAATGTATACAACTATAATACAAACTATAAACAAAAATGATCGTCGATAAAAGACAATGATAAAAAATATTATTTTTGTGATTAATCATTCGATTGGTATACTTTAAATGATCGAATTATTTGAAAACAGTTTTGTTTAGGTGTGTCAAAACTATCATTAATTTTTCTATCGAAATAATAGTAAAATAATTATTGCGAAATAATAATATTAATAATATAATAACAACAATAATAATAATAACAACAACAATAATACTAATAATAATAATAATAATAATAAAAAATGGATCACGTGCACGTGAAATCAAGATCGAGTTCTAACTCGAAAAGCAACAATAATCCACCGACGAAAATGGGCTGCGAAAAGGCGTCGAGACGCCTTAGGACGATTCTAGTTAAAGCGTCGCGTCTCGGCGTCACGACGTCTGAAGTCGCAGGATTACCGGCCGCCAAGAAGCTTTTTCCACAAAAAGATCATGGTTGGAGGCTCGCGGTATTTCTTCTTCTAATGTTCGCTGGGGGTGTCATCGTTGCACTCGTCTGTACCACGAGAAAAGGATGCTCAAAGCTCGAAGATATTGTAAGTTCATTTAAACGATACATTTTTTTTATTTTTTCTTTTATTCCTATCTACAATTGATTATTTTTCATTATTTTTTTAAGTCTAATCATCATTTTGATCGATAAACAATTGAAAATCATTTCTTCAACATGGCGGACAGAATTTATTTCCAGATCTTTCGTGTTCATTTTCTAGGTTATGTTTTGAATTTCTTCATTTTATTTCACATATGTATGTATATAGATTTGTTTTTTTTTTTTTGATAGAAAATATAAGAAAGAGAAGGCAATTAAATCTTAAAACTAACTTAAAGTATTGTAAGGATAAAGAATAGAATTTATTGTTAGGTTATGTTTGTTTTCTATCGAACGTATTCATCAATACTTTGATACTTAATTTATATATATATATAAATTAAATTTATATAATATACTTTTTCAAGTGAGGAAGAATGGTTAAATTTAAAGTTTCGTTTATTAATTAGAACAAATTTAAAGGCAACATTATCGTATAATTAAATCATTACGAAATTTTCACGTAACGCAATATATTTGCAAATGTTAAATTTGTTTTTATTACGATTACGATTAAATAAACTCATCCTTTGTGTATTCAATTAATAAGACCAATTTTATTTATTCGATAGAAAAATATTCACTTAAAGTAAAAAGATAAAAATAAAATGTAAAAGAACAATAAGAAAAAAAAGAAAAAAGAAACAAGAAAACAGAAATTCTAATCGCGAGAATCTCACGCGATCCTTCCGCTTTGCCTTTTTATCTTCCAAGTGGATTTCTTCGAGCACGACGTAAAAAAGAGGAATGCCATGGTTCGTCGTGCATGCTCTGAATATCGAACTCCTCTCTTTCTGATAAAACTTAGAAAAAGAATGAAAATGATAGAATAGAGTCGCGAAAAGAAAAAAAAAAAAAAACAAAAAAAAAAAAATAGAAAAGAAAGTAAAAGGATGAATAAAAATATGCATTGAGAAAAAAGATGACGCAAAGGTAGACGCAAAGATAAACGCCAAAAGATAAAGATAAAAATTGACTGATAAATATTAGATAAAATAAAAAAAAAAAAAAAAACAAAAAGAGAAGAAAAAACCCAGGCGAATAAAAAACAAGACAGGAGACACGAAACGAGTAGAGAAAGAAAAAGAATGAAGAAGAAAAAAAAGGAAAAAAAGAAAAAAAAAGATAAACAAGGAAAGGTAGAATAACGGAAAGAAATAAAAGTCAGGATCGGGTCGGGAGTTTGTGTCGGAGAAATAAAAAAGTCCATGAGGGAAAAGTATTAAAAGTAAAATAAAGAATGAAGATGGAAATAAAAGGGATATAAAAACAAAAAAAGAACAAAGTTAAAAAATGACGAAATAAAAGTCGGGACTGAAGGAATATTAATAATGCATGATAACAATAACAATAATAATAAATAAATAATAATAAACAAAAAGAAAAGAAAGGAAGAATGTAAAAATCTAAGTAACAAGTTTAAAACAATACAAATATGTATTCAATTAAATAAAATAAACTGCGTGACGATGAAAATACTAAAAAGAAAAAGAAAAATAATAGTCAACGGTTAAAGATTAATACGATAATCATTAGTAACTGTTAAAACACCGTAAAAAAGAAAAGAAAAAACCATGACAGAAACACGAGACACATATAAATGGAATGCAATAGAGTGAGATGAATAGATAGAATGGAAGTAGTCGTGTTAAGCATGTTCGGAGTATAGGAGCTAGAAAGAGAAACAGATAGAGGGTGAGAGAGAGAGAGAGAGAGAGAGAGAGAGAGATAGGAGTTGAGGCGGTGAAATTACAGATCAAGGGGTTTCTAAACAATTACGCTGTCGGCAGGAGGTCAGGGCGAGAGTAGCATGAGTGAGGTTAGGGGTTACGGCTCGCAGGAGGTAACAGAGGCTTGCGGCCTGCGGCTGGTTGTGGACGAGGGTCGAGGCTAACAGGAAGTGTTCTTCCATTCCCCTCTTCCCCCTCTTGCTCTCTAACGGTCTAGCAAGCAATGGACGGAGGGTAACATCGACTGGAGCTTCTCCAGCGTTCAGAGAACTCGTCCTTCTCTTGTCTGATATTCCCTGAGGAAAAGCGTTCCATTGTTCCTGAGGGCTTGAAGAGAGATAGATAGATAGACATGAAGGATTCAGGGTGACGTGAAGAAGAAGACGTGGGGGGGGGTGTTCGAGTAGGTTGGGGTATATGATAGGTAGGTGTCTACCTAAGTAGCAGCAACCCACCTTGCCTAGGTACCTTCCTACCCAACTAGAAGCATGACTGACTACTACTATCTACCTAGCTAGAAACCAGTAAGTGGATACACTTGCCTCCTCCACCTGCTAGTAGTAATGGTGGTGGTAATTTTGATGTTGGTGGTGGTAGTGGTAGTGGTCTACTCTAGTATTCCTCAGCTCGAATCTACTGATTCATCACCATAGAACATCGCGATTACATCGATCGATTGGTCTCCAGCATGGGTTACTTGGAAAGTTCCCTCTTTGAATGGTAACTCTAACGGTATTGGTAACGATTTTCACTGACGTAGCTGGGTCGAAGCTCGATTATCACCGACCGACTGATTGGCGGTCAGAAACATCGTTCCGGAGCTCAAACCAGAACCCTTCTCGTACTTTCCATTCTATGAGAAGGAGGAGATAAAGGGTTGAGGGGGGAATGAAGGGTGGTTATAGGTAGGTTGGTACTCGGTACTTTAGTCTAGAGGCGTTACGTTCTAGCACCGTTGTTGAACGTGATGCTGCCTTTCGGAGAGTTACTATTTGATGAGTGCCAAAGATAGGAGGATTTAGAGAAAGAAGGCTAAATAGAATGTTAGAGTATGAGTGTGTGTGTGTGAGAGAGAGAGAGAGAGAGTGAGAAAGATAAAGAGCATAGTCTTCTATCTTTGATGTTACCCGACAAATCGGAAACGGAGTTGATGCTCGTACGAGCCTTCCTCATTAGCCGTAACTACGGCTTCCTACTGCTCTCAATATCGACCATTCCTGATGATGGCTGATATTCATGAAATGGGACACGTGAGAATTTTCTCGCGTTACCAACACGAAAGTCGTGTTAAGTAATCGATTCCCTACTTCTCTACTACCTCTTCCTCATTCTATTCGCCATCCTTACTTTTGCACCATGCCAAGTAAATACGCTTAACATTCTCTTTGTGATACATGGTGTACAGTTTCACGATTATATTCGTTCAAATTATGCTCAGGAATTTCAATTCTAATAACGAACCAACCATTAGAATTGAAATCCGCTAGTTTTTCGATATTTTAGGAATACTGATTTTCATTATTTTTAATGTGAAAATGTTTGGAAAGTGTTTATTAATTGTTCGAGATAACAGTAAATGAAATGAATTGATTAGTTTTGGGCGGATTTAAATGTTTTTTTGTATTATTTCAGTGTGTCGTATGATTTTTCATTGACTCGTACTACTTTAATTTCGATAGGCTTACTATTGACTCGTACTACTTAATGGTCGATTATATTTTCGATTCATACTACTTAATTCGTATCTGATTCAAACTCTACTTGTATAACTTGAATTTTTAATCTAATCTCATCGAATTTTGAATAGATAAAAATAATAATTATTACGCTATTTGTTAAATATGTTTATTATTATTATTGCAATATTAATACGTCTGAATAAATTGTGATACTTGTATTATTAAAATATGACAAATGTTTCAAGATAATTATAATAATATATAAACTATATATTGATTAATAAAAATTAAACGTTATATATTTAAATAATAATAAAAATTGTAATATTTATGAAATATTATTGAACGATATGCATGTCAAAGTAATTGGAAAACTTATACGAAAAAGGGTGTCAAAGAAATCGATTACTCGGGACGTCTAACACGTCGATTGATCGATCGAAACATCCTGGTTTCCCCT